TGATATGTCTGATTGGCCAGAAATACGTACAGAAGGGACACCCGATACAACTGAAAGACGTAAACAAATCCAATTGAATTTTGCTTTGTATAATTCGCAATTTATTCTTGACAGATATTCTTGTTTTACTAAAACGCATCGGATATCCACTTATATTCTAAGATTCATATATAATTGCAATTCTAAAAATTATGAAAAACCAAGTGGTACGTTAACTCGTATCGAATTGGATGATTCACTCAATGTACTTCTCAAATTATGTCAGGCGTCTAGTTTCTCTACAGAAATCCTCGCATTGAAATCTGGAGACGCAATACCAAAATCAAGCAAAATATTGTCCTTAAATCCATTTCTTGATTCGGATGGTTTATTGCGTGTTGGTGGCAGAATTAAATATTCTATCGAGCCTTTTACTGAAAAACATCCCATAGTTTTGCCAGATAAAAATTCGTTCACCAAACAAATTATACAGTATGAACACATACGAAATTTGCATGCCGGGACTATAGCCACTTTGAATGCAGTGAGAGCTAAATATTGGCCAATAAACGGAAGAAGTGTAGTTCGGGGAATGATACAAAAATGTATTACATGTTTCAGAGCCAAACCTCCGTTTGCTAATCCTATCATGGGAAATATTCCTGGAGCGAAGCTTGTTCCAAAGCGTCCATTTTCTATAGTGGGAATTGATTATGCGGGACCTATCCTAATTAAAGATAGTTTTTTAAGATCTAGAAAATTGGTAAAATCCTACATATGCATTTTTGTATGCTTCATAACAAAGGCGGTCCACATGGAGTTGGCCACTAGTCTATCTACCGAAGCATTTTTTTGTTGTTCAAAGAGATTTGTCTCACGACACGGCACCAATTTTGTGGGTGCTGACAATGAGTTGAAAGGTACCATCAATGCCATCAATAAATCTGTAAATTCTGGTGAGTTGAGAGAATATACCTTCAGAAATTTCATAACTTGGCATTTCATACCTCCTCTCGCTCCCCACCAAGGCGGATTATGGAAGGCCGCAGTCAAATCGGCCAAATACCATCTGATTCGCATCGTAGGGAACACGCATTTAACTTACGAGTGCTTATATACTGTGCTTTGCCAGATTGAAGCCATATTGAATTCCCGTCCTATTACCGTTGTTTCTAATGATCCAAATGACCTATCTGCACTCGCCCCAGCACACTTCCTAGTGAGTGATTCTATGATGGCTATACCGCAAACCGATGTCACTGAAATTCCGTCGAATCGATTGAAACTTTTTCAACAACTACAGCAGTTATCTCAACACTTTTGGAAGCGCTGGTCTGCCGAATATATGAATTCTTTGCAACAGCGCACCAAGTGGAAGTCCAACACGATGTTGCCAGTCAAAGTTGAAGAAAATCTACCACCACTGCAATGGCGACTAGGGCGTGTTGTTGAGGTCCACCCAAGGAAGGATTATGTTGTGAGAGTGGTTAGTGTAGCCACCAAAAATGGTGTTGTGAAGCGTAGTGTAAATAGAGTTAGCGCTTTACCTATTGACTAAAATGTACTTTGGCTCCTTACGAATGAGCAATTCTGATGAATTCAGGACAATTTTGATGAATGTCAGACAACTTTCATCGTTGATAATGTTTGATTTGTTAGTCCTAAGTAGAATTCATTGTTTGTGTTGAAAGACCAAGCTCTCAAGGCGGGCTGTATGTTAATTGTTTAACTTTGAATTTTTCATTTTTTATAACTGTTGGTTCGCCTATGTGTGGGCATCTGAATTCTTGCCGCTGGCTAGAGCCTATTTTGTTCGAGAGTCACCCTCTCACAGTCTGTTTGTAACCACACAGGGATGCGCACGGTCGCTCCAGTATAATAAAACGACTCGTTACATTCATTCTGCCTTTGATTCACGCAAGTTGTATTTATTCATTCAAATCAGTGAAAACCAGTCACCGAGACTGGTCGATTTAATCAACGCGGACATTTGTCCCAAAAATACACCGATCGTTTCCTCGTTCCCTTGTGAAGTAGCAGCAAGTACATTTTTGAAAACCTCAGTTATGCGCGCCGCGCATGCACTTCGTCTAGCTATAAGACGCTTTAATTCAGTCATCTTGTCTGTTTAAATGTAAGAAATAATTATAGTTTTCACTTCGAAAACTCAAAATGATGGAAAATGTGGTTGGATTCTACCACTGAAGAAAAGGAGAAAATTTTAATCATATTTGATCATCAAGAAACAACAACGTAGGAACTGGAATAGTGTCGTTCGTACGAAAGCGTAGAACGGACATACAACATTTTTTTAGATAGCTTCGAGTTCGAACTCGAAATTATAGATAGCTTCGAGTTCGAACTCGAAATTATAGATAATTTCGTGTTCGAACTCGAAATTAAGAGATAGCTTCGAGTTCGAACTCGAAATTATAGATTGCTTCGAGTTCTAACTCGAAATTATAGATTGCTTCGAGTTCGAACTCGAAATTATAGATAGCTTCGAGTTCGAACTCGAAATTAGGAGATAGCTTCGAGTTCGAACTCGAAATTATAGATTGCTTCGAGTTCGAACTCGAAATTATAGATAGCTTCGAGTTCGAACTCGAAATTAAAGATAGCTTCGAGTTCGAACTCGAAATTGAGAGATGGCTTCGAGTTCGAACTCGAAATTAAGAGATGGCTTCGAGTTCGAACTCGAAGCTATCTATAATTTCGAGTTCGAACTCGAAATTAAGAGATAGCTTCGAGTTCGAACTCGAAGCTATCTATTTCTTTATTACAATATGACCACAACGGCATTCCTTCATCCGGCATGTATGTGTGAGGTTTGAATTAGGTAGTGATAATAGTGTTGTCTCGGTTTTCTGTGAATGCAAGATCGTGAAGAAGGGCTATGGATATGGATCCTCATAATTCCGATGAACAGGTACGTAAAATTGAATAATACAGAGAGGGTGGACCATCAAAAAAATCTAAGTTCGTGTGACTTCATTTGAAACTGCGATTGGGGCCATTTTTATACAGTGCCCCAGTAAAGTCCGTTTTCCCCCCTATTAATTTTCGAACCATTCATATCCCATTTGAATCCTTCAAAATTCGTTGCCATAATACCGTTTGGTTCAACAAATTGAATCGCACATTAATTATCAAGTACCATATGCAGGAGAATATTTGGTGAATTTTTGATCCGTTCCTGAAAAATGAGACCATTCCCGAACTTTTTAAAGACACTGTAAAGATACAGTATTCTCTCAGAATATTCTGTATCACTTGCCGCCTGCTGTTGTTTTTGTCCATTTTGTTTAGTCTATCCGCATGGTCGCCCTGCATTTGGCGCCAGTGTTTTTTGCACACCTGACTCGGCGCGGACCTCTTCTACCCCGTGTTTTTTTAAATGGACCCTTTTCGTTTCATTAGTGTGTCGAAAACAAGAAGTCATGTAGTTAGTAGTGCCTGCTGTGTTTCACCGGAATAATTTCGCTATTATTTACTGGTTTTCAATAGCTTTCAAGTAACTACCTACCTACGTGAGTAGAATTTTAAAATTACTTTTAGGTATCATGAAAAATGTGTGTGTATTTTTTTTAATCCCAGCAAACTTCATATTTATTTCACTAACAAAGATGAAATCAATTACCTTAATGCTTACTAGTATTTCAAGGAGATTTGTAAGACGTATCCAAAAAGAAATTCACAAAACATTTTCGATATGATGAAATATGGAAATGGTGAAATTTTCAAGTCTCATCTCGAATGAGTTCCACTGAAAAATCGAAGAATATTATCGATTTCCCCAGAAAAATATTCTTTTGAATCAGCGAAGTACATAGAATACATGAAATAGGTATACGCATACGCCTTCATCACCCTTCATATTCACGCGAGTTTACAGGGTGTCCCAAATTCGAGCCGTACCTATCATTGGGTTCTCGGAAACCATATAGCAGATACAAAGTCGGTTGAATTAGGGTGAAGTTGCCTAATTTAATGCCGATCAAAATGCCGCCTTGGAAGTTTACAAATTCCGAATACTTCTTGATGAGATATTTGAAAAAAATCTAAATGAATTCGCGGATATTCGGTTTTTTCAAATATCTTCGGAAGTATTAGGAATTAGTAAACTTCCAAGGCGGCATTTTGATGGGCATCAAATTGCGCAACTTTGCCCTTATTCAATTCAATTAAGTAATTAGACGTTTCTGGCGAACTAGCCAATAGATCATGAAAATAGGAAAATTAGGCAATATGCATGAGTAAACATGTTGTACTAATTTTAAATATTCTCGACAATGCGTTGTTGCCGCTTCCTCTGAAAAGTAGTTGTAACTTCGATTTTTCAAATGGAACACACTGTATGATTATATATCAGTTTTTGTACGTTCATTTTCTCAACAACTACGCTCGATAATTCTCTATACATATCTATGGTACCTACCTTAGACGTTTACAGAGAACGGATATGACCATTTTCGAGATAAAAAAATTATTTCTCTATATTTTTTGGAAACATTACCTCCAAAAATATAAACTGTTTTTTTCGAGAAAAAAATTATATTTCATATTTTCGAAAAAATTTCCTCAAAAAACAAAAATTGATTATCGTATAGGCAAACTTTAGTTAATCTATATAGGGTAGTAAAAAAATGCAAATAATTTATACACTTGCAAAAATGTATCGAAGTAATTTTTTTAAATATTTTGTCTCGTATATTATATTGATTTTATTTTCCGTATCACTTTCATCACAACTTCACCTAATATTTCTTTATACCCTATCTGTAACCGTTTTTTAGATAATTTTTGTTGACAAGTCTTCCCTAATATTTTTGGACTCTAAGTATAACATGAAAATTACCTTTTCTCTGATTTTCGGTTCCATTTCAATATTTTCAACAATCCATTAAATTTGAGACACTCACTCTGTATGTGTATTTGTTTATTCAAATATAATACATGACACTCTGTATGTTAACTTCTTAAGCTGTGCTTGAAACCATCTTAACTTTTTTCAGATAAATATGTCCTTTCAAGATTTCCTGATTGCAAGAGATGTGCCCAGAGAATGTTTAGCAGAAATTGAAAGTGAAAATGTAAGTAGCATATTTTTGTTAGATTCCTATATGTCATAACTATTTAGTCGAGTCGCGCTAGATGATAGAAATGTCGGAATATGAGAAACAACTAGGAAATGAATGAAACCGGTCGAAATCCCTTCGTAATGCAAATACAAGTAAAGTTCACCACCTGAGAACACTTGCTTTTCTACCACGCTTATACAGTGTCCGCCATAAAGTTGGCTACATTTGGGAAAAATATGTTATTGAGATTTCTAAAAACTTCAATTGCGGTTCGTTTCTGCATGTCTGACAACTGAAAAATCCGTTGCGACTTATATCACGTGACCTCATATTTGGCGGGAATTCACAAAAAGATGTCCTAGGTGCCTAAAAAGTGGGGTCAAATTGACAAGATATGGAAAAATTTTATTCGAGAAAAAGTGTTTGGAATCTAACGAGGACCTCATTTACCAATTTTGAAGCAGATTGAAGGAACACTTGAAAATATCATTTTATTTCTCTAAAGGGTGTCCGGAAATTATGCGCAAAAAATTCAAGGGGTGATTCTACATGAGGAAATATGATTTTTTTTTCAGATGTACGTGGGTCCGAAAATGCATAGTTTCCAAACTTTTTGAAAAAAATGGGTTTTTTATAAATATTTCAAATATCTTTCAACCGACTTTGTTGAAATTTGGCAGTGATGTTTGTAGTAATGGGCGGCTCATTTAGCAATGATTGAATTGGAATTATGAACTCCAGTGGCGTCCCAGGGGGCACCTTACAGAATATTATTGACAAAATGAGGTTCATCATATTGAATATTTCGAAATGGAACTATTTTGTTTCTTGAACCGTTTTGATATTTTGCTTCGTTTTCATGGAGAAAAATAAATACCAATTCATTGCATAAATTTGTACAAAAAAATCTATCAAAAACTGTTGTGAAAATAATTGTTTGAATACATTAATAGAAATAGAAAAAATTGAGATTCATTTTCTTGAAAGATTTTTCAAAAAATCACTCTGTATCTTGAAAATTAAGCATTTCCGGACCCCAGGTACAAGTAAAAAAATAAAGTTCTCTCAAGTCGAATCACCCCTGAATTTTTTTGCGCATAATTTCCGGACACACTGTATACTAGTCTATACCCTTACAAAAAACTTTATCCATTCTTGTTGTATATGGAAACAGCTTTAATAACCTAAATCACACAAGTTTTACTGAAAACTAATCAAACTAAACAACAGTTTGCACCAGATTCATTATAGAAACACGATTTAGTCTTGTCACTAGGTAAATGAAATTAGAACAAACTGAACAAAGTTATATTTTTGATTACAGGTTGAGAACATTGAATTAGCTCATGTGCATCAATGTTAGGGGCATGACTACACCTAGTGATTAGACTAAATCGTGTTTTTATAATTAATCTCGTGTAATATGTTTGTTCCACAAATATAATCATCCATTAAAATTTGAATTATTATTACAGCTAGATGAGGCCGCCATTCAGGTAATGGATGAAGAAACACTGACAAAATTTATTCCAAAGCTGGGAGACAGGGTGGCTGCCAGAGATTTCTGCAAGAGGAAAATGGCTCCAAAAAAGGTCGGACTTATTGAGAAGCTACGTGAAAAACTCTCGAATAAGAATACAAGAAGCCAGGGTACTGGAACCTCGAGTGGCTCGAGTGCTACATCTGGCAGAAAAAATTTTTACCGAAAATCAACGAGGAGTATTGAATTAGGACTCATGATTTTCTGTCCCAAACGACATAAACCCATATTCATTCGACTAAACAAAGAGGGGGGGGGGGACAAGAACAATCACAGTGAATCGGCAAGACACAATCGATAACATCATGATCGCTGCAAAAAATCTTTTTTTCCTGATGGCAAATCTAACTGCTTGGGAAAAATTGAGGATTACGATTCAGAATTACTGGATTGCTGCAAAAACGAAGTAGATATCAATGTGACTGTGGAAGAAATGTACGAGGTTACGAAAGTAAATAAATTGCGGTTCTATCTATCGCTTGTAAAAAAAGAACAGGAAGATCGTACATGTGTAACCACCCCCAATCCCACAGAAGATGAACCCACAGAAGATGAACCCACAGAAAATGAAGGTGATCTTGACTTAGACCTAGAACACATAGAAGAGGTAGTTATAGAAGAGGTAGTTGATGATTTTCAACCATCTTGGTCAAGCAATAACAGCATAAGTGAGGATTTTCAAGAACAGCCTTCTTCCAGCCTAGTTGTTAGAAGCACTACAAGGCAATCAACTCCAATGTCTCGTTATTTATCAGAATTTATTGAAGAGGTTTGTAGTTCTTTTAATTCAATATCTTCAATTCTTCTCATAGACTAGGTGACTAGGAACCACTGTACCACCCTATATCTCCGTTGTTATTTTGATGATCCATTTCAAATCTGGCACATCGATTTGATATGTCATAAATTGTTTAACAAGCACAATATGATAGTAATTTCCCACGAGTATGACGTTTGCAGGATGAGCCGTAGGCGAATGCTGCAAATCATACGAGTGGGAAATGAGTATACCGTGCAAGTTAAACACTATACTTTTTCTTCAGCTCTGAATATAATGAATTGCGACATGATTTCATAACACGTTTCACTGAAATCATGTTTGACAGAAATGTCAGACGTATAAGTAATCAATGCTTGAAGTTTGACATTTCTTGGGAGACTTCATTTATTGTATAATAATAATGACAGCTGTAACACAATGAACTCATTGTTTTATCATATACGGTAATGAAATTGATGACAAACAATGAACGTCATTGTTCTATCAAGAACAGTTGAGATAGAGCAGTTTTGTGTTAGAGCCGTAGAAAAATATGCTATTCAACGGATTTCATGGTACTGTTCTGTTACGAGGGATAAGCAGAGAGTTGAAATTCAATGAATTATGTAAAGTATGAATGTGATACATCATTGGGAAAGAATGTTATTCTGAATAAACTACGTAACAAATGAACTGGTCCACCGGAAAATATCACCTAATTATCAAAGCAAATATTTCGACAAATTCTGGTCCGATTCTAGAACGATTTGATCCATGTTGCGTGAAAATCCTTCAAGAATGAGATGGTGATCCTGCTTTTTCCAAAAAGTTGGTATTGATGTACCTCCCTTCATATCTTCGTTTTTATTTCATTTAGAGATCTTAAATTTAGCACATCAATTCAATGTCAGTATTGTTGAATTCAGCAAGTTCCTAGGCAAGTTCCAGATTGACTACATCACTTCCGGTTCAACCAGAAGTTTGCCCAACTTTTGTATTTCAATTTCGATGTACAAATTTTTAAGAAAAATTACTAGTCAGCAGAACCTTTTCATTTACGGAGAAGAATTTCTTTGATATTGAGCGCATATTGATTCACAGGGTGTCAGGGTGATTTATGATAGGGAATAATCGTCAAATACAGTCATACTCACTTGTTATGTTTGAACTTGAAGAGATCATGAAGATTTTTTGAACGTATTTTGCTAACTAAGTTAGTATTTTGGAGATGGGATTAGAACTGAACTCATCCTATGTTGAAATTCTGTTTGAATAGCTATAAATCATACTGAACCGTATATGCCAGTCATTTAAGAAAATCAATTCACAATAATTCATTAAAAATTATATTTCTTGCGGAAAAAAGTTATGCATACTTGGAGTAGTGTTGAAAATATGATTTCATATCACGTGTCGAATTTGCAACCAATTTGAAGGTACGGAACAATAATTGCTTTTATGCAGATATAAGGTTTTCCTTTGAATGAACTTACTAAAAATACTAAAAAAATCCACAAATTCTGCAAACAAAAATACATCGGAAATATATATCGAAGAATTAGATGAATATGAAACCTTGTTTATTCATTTTTTTTCAATTCTCGATCATTTTTTCGTGCAAGGGTGGTCTCGAAATAATTACAAAAGTTATGCAACTTGGTTGTAAATTTTTAAAACATCTATTCTGATGCCTTTACAAATTTGCAACCTCATACCCGATCCGAACTTTATGCAATCCACAATTTTTTTTATTTTTCAACCAATATAGTACTAAAATTTCAAAATATCTAAGTATTCATCAACAAAAAAAATTCATATGATACAAACTTTCTGGGTAACAATGTATAAACTTAAGTCATACATTTTTATGATTTTTTTCAACAAAATATCGTGTGATACCTTTTTTCTGAATTCTAGGAATTGCTTGCTGATGCACCTCCTACCCTTTTAGTGGTTCATCGGGGTGAGGTTTTCGAAGAACTGCTGGCAGCTTTCCAGCATCATACTTGCCTCAATAATATCCAGATTGAAATGATCCTTCCAAATGGACAGAAAGAGGTAGCTGAAGATATGGGCGGTGTTTTGAGGGATGCTCTTTCCGAATTTTGGCAGGTGTTTTATGACAAATGTACGGCTGGCACATCCCTCAAAGTACCGTGTCTGCGAGATGATTTCGGGTCCAACGAATGGGAAGCAATTGCTAAAATTATCGGCATGGGATGGACCGAGCAGAGATATTTCCCTATCCTGTTATCTCCTGTTTTTATTATGAATACGTTAGGAATTGCATTCAACGATGAAGATGTGATAAAAGATTTTCTCAAATACATATCCGAATCTGAGGCAGAAACGATAAAAACTGCCCTCGAAAATTTCGAGGAAGTGGAAGTGGAAGATCTCCTTGACTTCTTTTCGAATTTTGACACAAAACGGCTTGTGACAAAAAATAATCTAAATTCAGTATTGTTAGGAGTAGCACATAAAGAATTATTACAAAAGCCGGAATTCATTTCGAAATGTTTTTCACAAACGAGAGAGTTAGAAAAGGTAGTGGTAATAAAATCTATTTATGATAGGTGCCAACCAACACCCAAAAATATAAATGCCAGACTCGAAATTCGAGAGGAAAATCCATCGAAAGAAGCTCTTGAGGTTTTCAACTATTTGAAAAAGTTCATTAGAGAATCGGATTCAAGAACTCGTTCGGCATTCCTGAGGTTTTGTATAGGATCCGATATTGTGAATAATGATATTGGTGTAACTTTCAATGGCACATGCGGATTTTCACGAATGCCAACCGCACATACATGTTCGTGTCTGTTAGAATTGCCCAATTCTTATGAAAACTTCATGAGCTTTCGTAGTGAAATGAATAATCTACTCTCATCGAATATTTGGGTAATGGATATAATTTAGGACTGTCATTGACTATAATAATGTGGACTTTCCCATTCATTGCAAGGAGAGATTTTCCATTGAAGGCAATACGCAATGAAAACTGTATTAAGTTTGAATGCATTTTTTCATTTCATATAGGGTTGAAAAGTTTGATTTGTCTGTTTTTTTTATTTGATGTGATATACTGTGATTAGTTCTCGAGGTAGCTTTTTTTTAATTTTACCTGATATTAATGAGTTCCTACAGGGTATCCGGAAATATTAAGCAATTATTTGAGCAGATGATTTTATTTTTTACCATATAAATTATTTGCTTATAATTTCCGACCACCATGCATACATGCAGTTGCCGATATATCAGCAGATATAACAAAATAGCCAAGGATAATCAATGTCCAGTGAACTCGATAACCATTTGAAATAAAAATACATTTCATTGGAAATTGGTTTTCTAGGACTTCATTGAAACCTTAGTTTTTGGGTTTTTTAATGTATTTTCTCCTGTATGTATGACCCTGAAGAGTGCAATATTAACGAAACCTAAGAACACACCCGGTGTGTATATTTAAGTTACTATTTTTTATAATGCTATGGAGTATATGTACTAAGAACTGTGAAATGTTTAGTTTCTGTTATTTTTTACATTTGATACAATAAATTTAATACAAAATGAATAAATTACGATTTTTTTATTTCGTTTTTTATTAATTTTTATCACTCACAATAGGGACCAATTTGGAGAAGTGACAAAAGCAAGTAATTTTTCATAGACAATAAATAGTATATTGCTTAACTAGCACGGTATGATAGTAATTTCCCACGAGTATGACGTTTGCAGCATGCTGTAGGCGGAATGATGCAAATCATACGAGTGGAAAATGAGTATACTGTGCAAGTTAAACACTATACTTTTTCTTCGGCTCTAAATATATTGAATTGCAACATGATTTCATAACACGTTTTACTGAAATCTTGTTTTACAGAACTCTCATACGTATAAGTAATCTTTGCTTGAAATTTGACATTTCATAGGAGACTTGATTTATTATTGTATAATAATAACTACAGCTCTTACACAAATGAACTCATTGTTTTAACAAATACGGAAATGAAATCGAAGATAAACTATTTATATCATTGTTCTATCAAGAACAGTTAAGGTAGAGCAGTTTTGTGTTATAGTCGTAGAAAAAGATAATATTTATCTCCGAAATCAAACGGAAACAACCAGTACATACTAGGTCTAGGGCTATGGTAATAGTTTTCATTTGAACAACTTTGAAATTTCTTTCAATCGATTCTCAGATTTTCACGAGAATTTCGAGCAGGAAACACTACAGGTTAGGAAAATTGAGCAAATGAGTTCAAATTTGGTGACGGTAACAAACCTACTGAAAAGTGGAGTCTGGAAAGATGACAAATCAATCTGTTTTTCATCCCGTTGTAGAGTTTTTTCCATTTTTTTATGGAGAAAGTACGTGGTCTGAGAATATTATTGAATATCAGAAACATTATGTGAAATCCTATCTACATTTGTACTTAATTATTGAAAATGAGTTTTAAAAATAAAAAACTACAGATAGAGTAGACTGAAACCAAATGAAAACTTAATATATACTATAATATGATATACTTAACAGAACCATATCGACTGCTCAAGCTCTACTTCAGTTCTGTGAAATTCTTCACCTACCAATTATTTTTCTATTTTTCATGTACAATTCATCATAATATGAGGTCTCAGAACTAGTCCATAGCAAAACAGACATTTTTGTCTATTAAAGGCATGAGGCTGATTCTGAGTCATTATTCTCAATAATGCTTATAAAAAACAAAACAAAATGTATACTTAATCAATCGTATGAATAAATTGAATTGAATTGAATTGAATTGAAGAAAAAATTTGTATTTCGTGAACGAATTTCCATTTATGAAGCGTCTTCGTCTTCCGTCACCATCAGAGATGTCATCAGTGCTTCTTGCAGTGAAAAAATAGGTAGGTAGGTAGATACTACTTTTTAAATGATTAACAGTAGTTGATGAAATTGGTTTAAAGTACTTGAATGACAGTTTAGTCTATTTTTGTTATACAGGGTGAGTTAGAATAAGACCGATAAACTCCTTATCCAGATTCTTAACGAAATTTTGAGATGAAAAGTTCCTATGAAGGTATGTCCTAAAATGCATCGTCTCTTGGGATGTCGAAAGTACGGAAAAAATTAACTCAACTTCTTTTCCTAGGAAACCCCTGCAGGAAAAAAAATGATACTCCGAATTCTATTTGTGTTTGAGCAAAGTAATCATTTGACGTTTTTATTTTTGAATTACGTTAGCCAGTGGCGTAGATACGGTCATATGTGGCCACACTTTCATGTTTTCGGTTGACAAATGAGTGGTCGATTGGGAGTTTGACATCAGTTAGGTTCATCAATACTCCACCTAAAAGTGATACATATCATATGCCTAAATTCAGAGGTTTCTGAGATATTTGCGAAAAACAAAAGATATGTCTTGAGGTAATATTCTGAAGAGATATGAATTACTGCGTGCAATAATTGCATAATGCTGATTTTTCACAATATATCGTAATATTAGTGAGTCTCCTGAACAGTTTTGAATATTGAGATAATATAGAACATAGTACGAGTGAATCAGAAAAGACGGACAAATTCTACATACCTTACACATGTTCTTCTGACTAACCTGTACTATGTTCTCAATTCTTTAAATATTCAAAAATGTTCAGGAGGTTGACAAAAATTTCAATAAATTGTAAATACTGATGTATGCAATTATGGCACCCAACAATTTACGCCTCTACTGAATATTTCCTCAAGGCATATCATTAAATTTTTTGCAAATATCTCAGAAACATCGACATTTAGGCATATGGCATGTTATGACTTTCAGGTAGAGTATTGATGAGCCTAACTGATTTCAAACTCCCAATCGACCATCCATCTGTCAACGGAAAATATGAAGGAAAGTGTGGTCATGCATACGACTGTATCTACGCCACTGGCTAACGGAATTCAAAAATAAAAAGGTCAAATCATCACATTGCTTAACTTCAAGTAGAATACGGAGTTTCATTTTTTTTTTCCTGCAGGAGTTTCCTAGAAAAAAAATGTTAATATTTTGCGTACTTTCGACTCTCTGTATTTCAGAAATGATGCATTTTGGGACATACGTTCATAGGAAATTTTCATTTGAAAATTTCGTAAAAAATCTGGATACGAAGTTTGTCGGTCTTATTCTGACCCTATACAAGGTGATTCCAAAATAGGTGGTAGCATATAGGGTGAGTGAAATATTCACGAAAACCTCAGTAAATTTTTTCACTTAAGTGCTCCCCAAGAAAGATACAGCCCCTTAAAAAGGGGACTTGAAGAATGGTTTTTAATTATTATCTTCAACACCTTGTATATCAAGGTTCTTAAAACTTGTACATTTGCTAACTGTTTGATGCTTTTTCGAATGGAATTAAAATAACCCCGAAATTAAATCCAGTGGTGGGTCAAAATTGGTAGGTAGGGGGTAAAATTAACCTCAACTTTTTAGTATATGGATTTTTTTTTGGTCTTCTGACAAGAAATTATGAAATTTCAGGGTAAATTGCATGAAAAAGAAATACTCGTTGAAATTCAATCAGATGCACTATTTGCAAATAAAATTGATATTTACATTTCAATTTACCATCGAATATGTGAAAAAAGTAGACTTATCATAGGTACTAGGTCGATGGAGCTTGCCTCACTCAATAATCATTATAATGGTATAATTTCTGGAGGATTTCGTCATCTTTCCACGCCAACTTATTGGCGAAAAAAATTGAAAAAATACGTTTAATATAATTAGTATTTTTGTGAATGGATATGTGAAAATCGATTTTATTCAGAAATGGTACATTTTATCGAAATTCAACAAGTGCACCTTTTTTATGCGAATGACTTTTATTTTATAATCTAATTTGAAAAGATCAAAAATGCAACAAACAAAAAAGTTGGGGTTATTTTTACCAACTGCCTCCCCATTTTGATACACCACTGGATTTAATTTTAAGGTGATTTTCATTCCATTTGAAGAAGCATCAAATAGTTAGTTAATGTACAAATTTTGTATGTATGCTCCCAAATTTTGACCACCTATTTTAGAATCATCTTGTATAGTTAGTCATACCCGAGATCATATCAACATTAAATTACATAACATTACATAACCTATCAAAATTTCAGTATTAAAGGAAGGGAAGGAATCTCAAAGTCTTTTCCACAAATTTAATATAATGTTAGGACGTTAGGTGGTGGGACATGTTTCGGACTTATAGAAATCCATCCTCAGCCAGTTATATAAGAAAAACTACAATAAAGTATAACTGGCTGAGGATGGACTTCTATAAGTCCGAAACATGTCCCGCTACCTGATGTCTTAACATTATATTAAATTTGTGGAGGAAATTTTCTTCCCTTCCTTCGATCTTCCACTCCACTTTGGGATACCATGGACTTCTAACAGAGATTATTTTATTATTATAAACTGCCCGCCAGCAGTGACGAAATCACTGAGAATTTCCATTAGAAGTGTGACAAAATTAAAATTTCAGGAAGGTTAAATTAATAATATACAACTTAAGATAATTATGGGACCCTC